AGCGCAGAGGCCGCGGGCGCTCCGGGGCCAGCGGCGCCTTCGGCTCGGGCAATGGCGCCCGGCGCCGGGGGCGCGAGGAGCGGCTCATCTAGTCAGACCCCCTCACCCCCCGCCACCGCCACCGCCACCGCCACCACCAGACACCACCATCGCTGTGTAGTGTGGATTTTTATTAGTATTTGTGTGTGTGTGTGTGGACACATTTTTCCTTTTCGGTTGCTCTGTTCTTTGGTTCGTGCTCGCCTCGCTTTTTTCCACACTCCCTGCTCTCTGGCTCTCTCTGTCTCTCTCTCTTCTTTTCGAAATTTTCCTAAGTCCGGGCTCGCGCTCCCTCCCCTTCCGCCCACCCCGGCCCCTCGGCGGCGCCCGCGGGAGGGGGGGGAGCGGCGGCCTCAGGGGCCGCAGGGCAGCACTGCCCGGGGGGTGGAGCGTTGGCGTCGTGCGAGGGGTCGTCACTGGCGCGGAGACGCCCCCTCTCCCCCCTCGGCCCGGCCCGACTGGGGCCCAAGCCAGGGGGGTGGGGGGGCGGCTCCCCGTCCCGGCCCGGGCTGGGCGCGGGCGGAGGGACCCCCCTTCCCGGGCACCCGGGGGGACGCCTCCCTCCGCCGGCTCCCGCCCTCCCCGCTGCCGCCGCCGCTGCGGCGGCTGCTCCTCAGCCCTCCTCCTCCTCCTCCTCCTCCTCCTCCTCCTTCCACCCCCCTCGCCGCCGTCGCCTCCTCCTCCCCCCGCCTCCCCCCGCCCGCCGCGGCGCTTTTGGGTCGGGGCGGCGGCGGGCCCGGGCCGAGGCAATAAGAGCGGCGGCGGCGGCAGCGGCGGCAGCAGCTCCCGCAGCTCCTGCTCTGGTCCGCCTCGGCCCGGCGGCGGCCATCAGTCCCCTCGGCTTCGGCTCGAGGGGCGGGGAGCTGCGCGCGCCCCTCGGTCCGACCGACACCACCCTCCCCTTTGCGCCCGTCCGCGCGCCCCGCGGCCCGCGCCCCGTAGTTCGCCCCGCGCGCTCCTCTCTGAGGAGCCGAGCCCGCGCCCGGCCCGCTCGCCCGGCGCTGCCCCGGCCCTCTCGGCCCGCGTGAGGCCGCCCGCGCCCGGCCCCGCCGCCGCCGCAGCCCGGCCGCGCCCCGCCGCCGCCATGGGCTGCCTCGGAAACAGTAAGACCGAAGACCAGCGCAACGAGGAGAAGGCGCAGCGCGAGGCCAACAAAAAGATCGAGAAACAGCTGCAGAAGGACAAGCAGGTCTACCGGGCCACGCACCGCCTGCTGCTGCTGGGTAAGGGCGGGGCGGGGGGCGCCGGCCCCGGCCCGGCCTGGGGGCCTCGAGGGGCGCCCCGCAGGCCGCGCGCGCCGAGCCCGCCCCCCGCCCCGGGCGCGCGCTCCCGGGCTCGCCGCCCGCTCGGGGCTCTGTCTGTGGGGGGCGAGGCCGGAAGGGGGACCCCTGGGCGTGAATTCGGCCGGGCGGGGGCTCAAAATGGGGCGGGGGGGGCCTTGGCGACGCGGGGGTGGGTCCCCCCTCCCTGGCCTGCCCGTTCTTGCTGTCTCTGTCTTTCTGTCGCCCTCCTTCTCCCTCCTTTCTCTGGCTCTCTCTTTTTCCGCGAGGCCTACACGACGCCTGGGGTTTGGGTGCGTGTTGGGGAGGGGGAAAGAGAGGCCCACGGGGCCCCTAAGACTGCGACAAAAAGAGGGTTTTGGGGACAGGAAATGGGGTGGCGGGCAGAGGGAGGGGGACCCGCCTCCGTAGGGTGTGTGATTTGTTGGGAGAGGGGAAGAAAGAGGGGCGAGAAGAGGAGGGGGGACGCTGGGGGGCGCCGTGGTGGCGGAGGGGGCCTTGCCAAAGGGAGGCTTTGGCGGGGGAAGTGGCCGAGGAGAGTGGGGGGGCGAGTGACATCAGCCCCTCGCAAAGGACCGGAGCGGTAAAGGTGGTGCAGTGGGGGGAGGGGGCGCGGACTAGTCGTGGCGCCGGAGGGGGGGTTGGGGGGAGGAGGGAGCGCGGCGGACGCTGGGCGCGACTTGGTGCGTTTCGGGCAGGACCGACTGTGTGCGGAGCAGACGTGTCCTGGGCTAGGCCAGGCCGTGGAAGGAAGAGAAGGAGAATCAAATAAAATAAAACCAAAAAAAAAAAAAAAAATTAAAAAAAAAAGATAGTACGCAGAGTGCCCAGTGAAGCCAAATGACACGTCATTTTACAGTATGACCTTTTTTTCCCCTTCCAGACTTGCAGGCTTTTTGAAAAGCAAAGAAGAGAATTAATTGTAGCAGCTGCCCCCCTCCACCCACCCAGTTGAGACACCCCCACACACACCCGTGCAATAAACTATTTTAAAAAACACACATTTTCCTGTTAGTTGGCCACATTGAGAGTGCTTTGTGAAAAAATTTAAAAAGGCCCTAGTCAGGTAAAACTGCAAAATGACAACTGTATATAAATGGCTTCTTGGTCTGGAAATGGCGTTTTTAAAATTTGTCCTTTTCAAGGTGGGAGGGGGGATTGAGAGCTCCAAGGAGAAGATTTGTCCCAGGTGGGAGGAGGTGAAAAGGCATTAATTAGTTGTTTGTCAAGTGACATTTGGTTGTTTGGTTTTTCTTCTCTTTTTTTCACTGTGGTTTCTCCTCTTTGTCAAAAAAAAAAAAAAAAGGGGGTGGGATCCTTAACTATAAGGAGATGGTCTTTCCTCCTTTTTTCTTTTAAGGTGCTGCTTTGAGAAAAAAAAACAAAAGCAAACAAATTGTTGAAATGACTAAAAGAATTACACAAGCATTAATTAGAATGGAAGTTTTCCACTTCCTTGATAATTGGCTATCTGAATAAATTGGTGAATTGGCTAGATTAAGTCCTAGTTCGTGGTTTCATTTCAACAAAACAGCTTGATTATCAAGAATAAAATATTAAAAGGCTCGTTTTTCCTTGTGGTGGTGTTTGGTTTGCTCTCTTTGGATGGGTCACGTCTTTGTTCTCCTGGGTTTCCAGATTTATAAGAGCAGAAAATTAGTAATTAAGTGAAAATAAGTCTCTTTGGTGTTTATGCATTTGCAGTATCAGTAATTAAATGGTGCATATGTGGAGGTCTTGTCTAAAACATCTAAAGGCTGAATTGTTACGTGAATACTAATGTGCATATAATTTGATTTCAAAGTATGAGCCTGCAAAAGTCTAGAATCTTCCTCTCGAATGTTATCTGGCTATATGAATACTAAAGACACTGATGGCACCTTAAGTTTCTGACACCTTTCGTTTAGTGATTCCAAAGTCTCCACTTAATTTGGGACTGTTACTCTGAACACACCTTGCCTGCCTTAGGCTCATCTTTCTAAGGTATCCTGGTCTGTATGACTACATTTTGTCATCATTTATTAATGGCCTGTGGCACAGAAATCTGTAGCCCAGACCAGTGACAACATTTTGCAGTTTTAAATGGTAGTTCCCACCAAACTCCCCCATCCCCCTCAGGAAACAGTACCAAAAACCTCTCCACCCATCTTAATCTAATGACATAAAAATTAAGTGAATTACAGAACCACAAAAAAAAAAAAAACTCTGACATTAATTTTCAGGCCAGTTCTTTAATTTCATTAATGTGGAAACTGAGGCACAGGTCTATTTGTGTCTGTAAAACACAGGTGTCACACATTATAACATTTCTGAAGTCAGAATATTAGAGATTCTGATCAATACTATATTCTCTTCATGAAATCTCTTAATGCCTTTTATATTTATGAGTTATGTTTATTAAAATAGTGTTTGCTTTGAAATCAATGTTTATGAAAATGAATTTTAACCTTTACAGATTGATTACAGGCTTGTGAAGAAGCAAGAGAAGGAGGAATGTTTTGCTATTTGGCATTACAACAAAACAATACAACTAAAAGTTGAAAAGGGGTAAAATCCATACAGATTTGAGTGGGAGGAGGGCAAAAAAAAAATCTGTCTACATCGAGATTAATTGTTGTATATATTTGAAAAAATATATATATGCAAAGTAGCAGCAATCCTCCCTCTACCTGGATGGAAATTGTGCTATTTCCATAAAATGTTATTATTTTTTTCTTTTAACAAATGAAAGGTGTTTTAAAATGGAGGCATGTGTTCCTACTCTTTTAGTTTGAAAGGGCTTAGAATCTTTGAAATTCAGGGGTTTCCACGGATATTTTTTCCCTATAATTAAAATCTTGTCCTTTAATTATTCCTTGCTGTTGTTGCAGGTTGCCTAATGCTAACATGGTCTCAAGTGCTATATTTAATATTAAAATGTATGTTTTTTGAGATGATAGATAATTGATGGTCTTCCATTTTCCTCTGCAACAGTTGTATCCAGAGACAGTTTATCTTTAGAAAGATACAGTTTGCAGGAAAAAGAGGGTGAATAAGAAGTGGATAAGATGCAGTGAGGCTTTAGGGGTGGGTTTTAAGTAGCCCAGGGGTGAGAAACCTGCAGGAGGCTGCATTGTGCACATGTTTGGGAGGGAAGGCTGCATGGCTGCGCTGTAGAAAACACTGCAGTGTCTGGGCATTGTTTGCAAACCCTGGGTATTTAACCATGAAACGTGACAAACAATGAATTATGTAGCTATACATTTCTAGGCACATAAAGTTTACCAATTAATGCTCACATTTCAAAGACTCAGTTTACTTTAACTTCAGTTTTCTTATCCCTCCATGACAGAATTGCGTCATTCCTTCTCTTTGCCCCTTCAACACCCCATAATTTTTATCATGACAACCAAAAGGGGAAAGAAGAAAACAAACAAAAAACCCCACCTAAAAACAACAAACCTTTCATTCTTGTTTGTTACTCTCATGGTGAAATACTGCAGGTACACTGAATTGGACATATATTTCATTTTCTCTGCGTCGAAACGTCAAGGGAAATTGCAAGTCTGTTATTTTGTGTTTGTTGTATGTTGCTTCCATGGGGAAAAAAAAGAAACCAACAATGGACAGCAAGCAGTGTCTTCTCCCTGCCAAAGTGTGAGATGCCCTCTTCTTAACCTGAGCCTTGCTTTCGTTTTCCAGGTGCTGGAGAATCTGGTAAAAGCACCATTGTGAAGCAGATGAGGATCCTGCATGTTAATGGGTTTAATGGAGAGTAAGTGTCAAATCCGTGCCAGGGCACTGAGTAAGAGTGGCACGTTGTATACTAACCCTTAGGAAGTACAGGTAGAGCTTTTCCTAATGTACACATAAGAAAATCCTTGGAAGGACTCTTTGCCCCCCTCCCCTTTTAATCTTGGTTGCAGTAAATAATAATACTAATAAAGCCCTGTGTTCATTTAAAACACCTTCTTATCCCAGGAAAAACGCCTGGTTGCAGGAGGACACTTAACAGCGCTTGGCCCTGTGACAGCATCTCTGAGGCCAGGTCCTCTGCCGCAGCCATTCTGCTGCAGCAAGTCTCCAACATGGCCGACGATGCGGCCTTGGCCACCCCTTGTCCTGCCGGGGGTGACGGGGGTGACCACCGCAGAGATCACTCCACCACCCTCACCACCCCAGCAGATTTCAGCAGGGAAACATTGTTTCAGAAATGTCCTCACTTGAAACAAAGTTGGAAGTGACAGCCCTTGTTGACAGTTTCTCATTCTTTTTTTTTTTTTTAAAGCCCCCTTTGAATTGTTACGTGCAAATAATTGTTTCCCTTATTAAAAAATTAATACTCAGGCCTAAAACAAAAGAAAAGCAGCCTAGAAATGACGCAAAGACTGAGTTAGATACTTCTGGCTGGTGCAAGGGGCTTTTACGCCTTTGAAATGTCCTTCTAAGCCTCATGATAGAGGACAATATGTCAATACTGCAGTGAGAATAAAGATTTCCTAAACAGAAAGAGACAACTTATATGAAAGATGTAATATAAGCATGGGGTTCTGCTTTCCATGAAGAATGCAAATGGAGGGTATATTCAATAAATCAGGGAATTTGTCTTTTCTACCCACACCCAGAGATGGGCCCCGGGCCCATCTGTCATTCTCCCATAACAAAATCTGAAACAGAGAAAGCTAATTTATTGGTCTCTGGTTTCACGGCTGTGAGGGCGGTTAACCTCAATAGATTATAAGCACCTGAAGGCACTAGCTTGCAATTACTAGCTGGTTAGCAATCCCACTCCCTTTTTTCAACCTGGATTCAATTGAAAGTCATCCCTCAATTGCATTCACTTTGGGTAGATTGAGACAAGGTGGCAGTTTAACTCAGTTACGCACCCCCTAGAAAACAAAATCCTGTTTACTGTCACCTGTGCATTAAGAACGGAGGAAACAAAGATGAGCTCTATCACCTTTTGCAGTGCAAAAGGGAGCTCTTCTTAGAAAAATCTAGAATTTGTTAGGTCAGATAATGGGGGGCAGGTAGAAAAAGATTACATCACCCAGACAAATGGTCAGCTTAGTTGCTTTTTTATATTTTAACCCCAAATTCAGAAAGATTAGCTAATGTGCAGAAGGGGAAGGTGGGCTAGCGTACCAATTTTATGAATGACTTGATGAGTTTTATCAGTATGCACCTGTATTCTATTAAATCTTCGCTTACAGCAACCAATTCTGAAATTCTTAATTCCTAACACATCATTTAGTGCAGCCTTGTCAGTGAAGATTGCCATCCTGTCGATAAACAAAAAGAGCCTGAGACAGACTTCTAGCCATGAATCTCTAACAAAAAACCTTCCATAAATTCCGCCCCCTGCAACTTTCAGGAGTAGTACTTCATGAGACTAGTTAAGCAAAAATAATTTGACCATGCACCCTCTAGATAAATATTTTGATCAAAGCTGGACATGACTAGCATTTTTAAAAGGTGCAGCAGTCAGTGTTTACCTTAGCTTGGGTCAAATGGAAGAGAAGTCATCCTTGAAATCATTCACTTAGAGTTTTATTACCCTATAAGTTACCCTAAAATTTTAAATTTTTGCAGAAAAGGTTCTCCCTATGTGAGCCAATCTAATGCAGATGAGGCTTCTAAACCAGAACTTCTCTTTTCTATTTTCTTTTTGAAAAGAGGAAGACAACATTTCCACTTTGCCTCCTTGGTCTCCAAAGGTGTTAAATTTAGCCTGTGAAAGTGAATGCAGGGATATTCTTCATGGGGGGTCTAGATACCCAGATTTTTTCTTTCTTTCTTTCTTTTTTTTTTTTTTTTAAACACCAACTAAGCCTTTTCTTTTCCTCACTGTGGTATTGCACCAAGCACTGTACCTTCTGGACGAGAATTCCCTATAAAATGGTGACCTCCCTAAAAGGTGGTACTCCTAGCTGGGGGGTTTTCTTCCCAACATTGCCCTTCTACCCCCAGTCTCACACTTTTTAAATTGTAGGCTGAGCTGTTAAATTTCTCAACTGTCCACAGGTTGCCCTGCTTTTTACATTTTTAAGAGTAACATAATATTAATTTGACCTTCAGAAATAACAGAGGTCGAGTGTGGATTTTTCTAACTCAAAGCTAATTCTCTCCCTTACATTCAAAGCCAGAAAAAAGAAGCATCATTAACACTGGTTAGGCTAATCACTTACAAAAACCCTGTAGAAGGTTTAGCTGGCCTGCCCTTCTACCTTCAAGGAGTAATTCTCAAAATGATGATTAGGGCTTTTTGGTTTTTGGGTTTTTTTTTTTTTTTTTCTGCCTCATGGTCCAGACATGGTTTTAGTTGACAATTTATGAAGAACAATTACTTATAAGTACAAACATTTTATAGGTTGTTTCCCCCAATGCAAGAAGTGAGGTCATTAATTTTGCACCAGGAAATCAGGGGCAAAAATCTCCCTGTCTATGCCTTTGTGTGTTTGGATCCGACATTGTGAAGATGCTGACCTGGGAGAATTAAGAGCCTTCTGCACTGCCATATTCTCAAAAGGATTGTGAGATAAATCATTGCTCTAGCTCCCTCATGCATGTACATTTAGTGAAAGCACAAGAAAATAATTATCTGTCCTTCCTGTATCCTACCAGAGTCTCCAGAGGCTCTGTTAATACAGCAGCGAAAGTGTGGGGTTCTTCCCCCTAAGGCCTGCAGTCTCGGTAGACATTCTGATTTAGCCAGAAGGGAGACCTATGAATTAGCGGGAGGATGGCGCGAGAATGGTTGCATTTGGCTGGTTGTTCAGGGATGTGGAGAGGTTGTGTGGGATTTGTGTGAAATTGCGGTGCCTTGCAGATTAGGTGAGCTTTCAATCTCTCTTTAAAAGGGGCGGCGAAGAGGACCCGCAGGCTGCAAGGAGCAACAGCGATGGGTAGGCACATTCAAAAACAGAAAAAATTTTTTAACAAACAAAACAAACATGAAGATCATACTGGGAAACTGAGGACACAGACCCGGGAAGAAAATAAAACTCATTTAAGGGCCATCAGCCATCTTGCTGTACATTTGTGAACGACACATAAACAATTTAACAAGTAAAGTGCCAAGCATAATTTTTTGGTCATGCCTAAAATATAATTAGATCCAGCTGGGGGAAAGTTACAGATTTCAGCTTAAGACGATAATTTAGAATTTTGAGAATCCATGTTTTCCATATGGTTTCTATTTTCTCCCAGTTCTCCTGTTTGAATCAACTACTTGTTTTAAAAAACAAAACTAAATTCTGTTCACTCAATACTTGGTCTGATCTTAAAATTTCAGACCTATTTCAAAAGATATTTTTCCTCTATTAAAATAACGCAGTGCCGCATGGTTCTTGATTTTGTAAAACACAGTGGCACCTTTCGGCAAGAATCATCTGGAAGTCTCTGGCCTTTTAAAAAATTATTTTAATCCATGGCACTTTACATTATCTAATGGATAAGGACATTCATGGTGACATCTTTTTTTTTTTCCATTATCATTTTTTTCTTTTGCTTCCTCATCCCCACACCCATCTCACGCGTGCACATTCATGCACACATGCACACGCATGCCAGGTGATCATTCTAGCTCTGCTTGTGTACTCAGCATGCAGGGATGGAGCAGCTATTTCATGAACACACTGAGCAGATTGACTTAGCCTAGGGCATCTCAAAGAAATAGCTTCTGTGGCCAGGGAGGGGAGGGGCAAAGGATACTGGGGTCAGGGGCAAAGTAACTGACACATGTTTGTTCATCTGTTTCTTTTAGAATTTATTTTCCCTAGATGATGGCTACAGTTTCTCATCTTCCTGGCTATGTCCTATCACAATTTGCATGCTGGAATTGCTCGGTCTTAGCAACCTCTAATAAGAATACTATTCTGTTGCCTGGGGTGGGAGGGGGGATGGGGCCCCTACCTATTGCCTGAGCTTTAGAGATAGCAGAAAAAAAAAAAAAAAAAAAAAAAACATTTTAAAAATGGAATGAAATCGTTAATTGGCAAAAAAAAAAAAAAGTAGAACAGCAATCCAAAAAAAGCATCTGTCTAAAAAATGACTAGTTGATAACATACTGTACCAAAAGTTGGCATCTGAGAAATATGACAAGTCCTACTGTGTACTAGATGTTGTGCTAAAAAAAAAAAAAAAAAAAAAAAACAAAACCCTTGAACCTTACTAATACCTTGCCTGCATGTCTTTCCGTGACTCTGTTCTACAGGTAAATATAAGTATTAACATTCATGATAAATAAAAATTCTCTGCATGTTTCAGCAATTCCTGTATCTTGAGTCTGTCTTCTGTCTTTTCTTCTTTTGTCTGTCTGTCCCCACAAGCATGAAGATAGTGTAGAACTGAATCAAACCATACAATATAGCCTTCCCTTACCACTTGCTTATTTGCAGGGGCAGGACCTGTTAAAAATGTTAACCCCACTAATGTCCTTTATATAATGGAGGTGGGTGGATGGGTGGGAGAGCAGAAGTGTCCTGAAAGTTACAGCTCCAGTCCCATCTTCGTAGTCAGAATTCTGGTGATTGGCATATATTCTGCCTTTTAAGTAGTTTAGAGACATCTAAGGAATTTTCTCCGAATTTCACAATCAATGTTAAATTCATTAAGCGATAGTACAAATAATAAACCTGCCAACCCCCAGTGTAATATCTCCATCTACATAGTAATTGCTTCAATGGAAGGATTTTATGTTTTAGTATTACACACCCGAATTAGATTTTAGATTTCTATTTTAGCTGTTTTATACTTGATATACTCCCACACCTATTCACATACGTAGATGAATACTGAACACGTTCTCAAAATATCCGTATTTTAAGATGAAGTTTCCCAATTATCATACTACTACTTAGACCAAAATATCAAACTGAATGAAAGAGCCTCATTTCTGAAAATACTTTCCTCTTGCTGTATGTGGATTGGGTATTTAAGACCCAATCATACCTTGATTTTCTATTGTAGGACCTTACAGAGATTTGGGGCTTTCAGTACCACAGACTTGGAGCCTGTTTTTAATGGCTGGGAGGGGATTTGCCTTAGGGGGTTCTTGGTAAATTGTGAATTCAAGGGTGAACATCTAAATAACTGATTTTATACTGTAACCCCAAGGCTAAAAATTCATAATTTCAGAAATGAGGCTGAATTCTGCATGACCCAAGTAGAACAGTCCCAGTAAGTGGTCAGGACTCTCAGTCCCTTTAAATATAGGGTGATAGCACTTTTAAGAGTCTGGGGCCCAGAGCAGCTTTCAGATTTGTGCACATATCCCATACCTGTGATCTGCAGCACCCTCCTCCCCACTTACCAGACTTTACTCCTGAGGTCTCTGATTCTGTCCACTGGCAGTGTTATTTAAATGGTCCTAAGGGAGTTCCTGAGTGGGATGAACATGCCTGACTTTGACTTTCCACCTGTAAGCCACACCCCAATCCTGTGTAGGCCTAGTCCCTCTCACCTGAGCAGTAGCATGATCCTATGGGAACATCAGTGACAGCCATCTGCCACCACCCCCCCCAAAAAAAAATTCCCCTCTGCTGATGAGTGAGAGCAACCCCCCCCTCCCCCCCGCCAAAAAACCTTGCTTACCTCCTTACCTGACGTGAACAGCAGCATCAGAGAGCCCACTTAAGAGGCTTGGTCCTAAAGGTTAAATGACATTCAGAAAACGAGGGCCCACTCCCCAAAATCACAAATACTCAGGCGGAAGTGCTTGGGAAATATTAGCTATTATAGTTCTTTGAAAAAGGGAAGAACAGATATTTTGGGAGCAGGCCTGTAGACAGGCATGCATGGGAAGCCCCACGCCCCTCACTGTGAGGCCCAGCTGTTCCCCCACTCTCACCCCCTGCAGCATCAGTAGCTGCCCCACCTGGCATACTAACACTCATTTGCATTTTCTATGCCTTAATTTTCTGATCACTACTACAGAGGTTATTTAATTCCTAGCTCCGTTCAGTGACTTGGTGAACCAACCAAATGAATGCTTCAAAAACTGAGAATCTCAGAAGATTTCCTTATTTATAATTACAAACATCAAGTTCTTAGCTCTGTCCTGTCTTTGTGGTCTCCCGTCCCCCCAGTTTCTGCCTCTGTGACTGGGACTTTCCCTTGGCCTCAGTTTCCCCCTCAGGGTGGGGCTGTAGCACCTTCTTCCTACACATGCAATGCGTGTGTCACTGGGCCTCAACACCAATAGGTGCTGGACAAGTTGGTTTTCTTTCCCCCACTAAAAATGAAGGCAAGACTTGGGCTAGACAATATGAAACCTGTACCCCAAGTAAGGGTGCTTTGTTATCCCCTATAAACAAGCTGGAGGGTCCCTCCTATCTGCCTGTGATAAAGGCTGATTTAGAAAGACACACAGCATTTGGATCGATGTAGTGCAAAAATTAGCATTCTGACCAGGACCCCCAACAACCCAAGGTCATTGCCTTAACCTGGGACCAGTGACAGAATGCAGATCATCCCAGAAAGGCCATAGGTTATCCTGGTGCTGCATTAGAATAAAAACGAAAGAAAAGCAAAACCTCTAGCCTACTTAACAAAGGGACCTGGTCCCCTCCCCCACCATCATTAAGACTGCTGGGAATGGGCTCTTACATAATTACTATTCACATTTAAGGACCAAAATGCATTAACACAGTAAAGTAGAAATGCTGCCAGCTGTAGTACCTAATAGCATCATTTCCCTGCGTGACAGACACACAACCTAATTAAATAATTAAATAATAGCCCCACAAATAAGCCTACAGGGGTATAATACCCTGAAGTCTGTCATTAACAACACTACTACCATTCACTCGTTTTCAGTATACTAATCCAACAACCTGAAGCACCCACCTCCTAATGACCCCCAACCCCTTATGCCAATGAGGGTTAAGCAGGAGCCTCTCCTAGCATGTGTTAATGTGTGGCTGGGAACTTCAGCAGAGCCACATCTGAACAGCAAATGAACCAGGTGCAACTTCTGGTACAGTTGATCATGATCTCGGGTGCCAATTTGCAACTCTGCCCCGGTCAGACGTGTCCTTAGGACATGTTTGGGAGGTTATAATTTATTCAGGTGCCTCCAATCTCTGCACAGATCTGAACCCACAACTCCTCGAAGAACAGAATACTATGCTTTTTAGTCGGATTATCTTGATATTTTAATAACACTCGTCGGCAGGGTGCAATATGATTTTCTTTTTCTTTTCAATCCCACTGTAGTGAGAAGGCCACCAAAGTGCAGGACATCAAAAACAACCTGAAGGAGGCCATTGAAGTAAGTGCCCAACCCTCTGCCCTCTGTCCTTTAGCACCCCGCCCCCCACAGTGCTGTTCCTCTGAATGTTTCGCAAAATCATTTTCAGACCATTGTGGCCGCCATGAGCAACCTGGTGCCCCCTGTGGAGCTGGCCAACCCTGAGAACCAGTTCAGAGTGGACTACATTCTGAGTGTGATGAACGTGCCTGACTTTGACTTCCCACCTGTAAGCCACACCCCCTGTCCTGTGTAGGCCTAGTTCCTGTCACCTGGGCAGTAGCATCCTATGGGAACATCAGTGACAGTCCTGTGACCAACCAAACACATACCAGTGACAGGGATACTTCAGTTACTTCCATGCACAGCCTTAATGCTACAAAAAAAGAAATGCAGACTAGTATCATAAGAGCTTTGTTCAAGATGGAATCCCCAAAATTCAATGCCCACCCCACAAATAAACATCACACTTTAATACAACTCTTGCTTTGAAGAAACACCTACATTATTATTCAAACATCAATTACAAAATTAATGTTACAGCAAATTAGACTTTTCTCTGTGCCCTCCAATTGGGTACATGATCCTGTTAACCAGAGGTCTCTCTGCTTCCTAAAAATCTATTTTTAGGAAATACAAAACTGCTTAAACCCCAGCATGTACATTTTGGCCACTTTGCAAGGGAGAAATAATGGTTATAAGAGGGGAACGGGAAGCAAGATGGAAAACCCTACAAGTTTATAAGGCTCAGAAGGAAGAGACATGTCTACAGTTAAAACAATGAGTTATTGTTGCCTTTTGTTAGGCTCTCGTGGGAATTTGTGTTTGTATTTTAGAAGGTTTGGCCGCAAACTTGTATCAGAGCAATTAGTGTGGGTCAATAAGTTTTTTTAAATAACAGTTGATGAAAAAATTGAATCATCAAATACAGTATATATAATACAACCCGCTAATTTTCTCAAGGTTCAATATTTCTAACAGGACAAGCAAAATGGCAACCAATTCAACATGCATACAAGCAGTAACTTCCCCCAAATACCTGAACGTTACATTCCTACCAACAATTTCTTATCGTAATTTTTGGTAAAACTCACATTTTTCTGGAAAGAAAATTAGCCCCAGAACCTATTATTGATTAACTTTCTTTTTTCTCTAAGACTGAATCGTTTGTTGGTATATTCTCCTAACTCAGATTAGTGTTTCCTCTTCCTATATAAATAACCCTGCAAAAAAACACAATTACCTAGTAGCGTGCTCACATCTTTCTCTAAACATTTTTTCTTGGGTTCACTTTCAGGAGTTCTACGAGCATGCCAAGGCTCTGTGGGAGGATGAAGGAGTGCGTGCCTGCTATGAGCGCTCCAATGAGTACCAGCTGATTGACTGCGCCCAGTAGTAAGTAGCCGCTGGCCCTCTCACTCTCCAACACACACCCCAAACAGGCAAAAACCTACAACTCCAGTGATTCTTTACACGGAAGCCAACCAGTTACCCCACCAGCAGTCAGAAAGTTTTAGTCTGGTTCATTTGTTTTGACAGAGTCTTTCATTGTACCTTTTAGTGCAGTGACATCATTTTACATAAGTAATTAATACCTGTTAAGAGCAAAATAATAATTACTTGCAATAAGGTGGTAGTCACAATTAATTAGTTTAAAGTAATTAATTGAAATGACCTCCAGGAATTTGGGGAAATAGGACTGTTCTTACACTGGAAAATGCAAAATTGTTCTATTTTATTGCTGTATTTTAAAAATATAACAAAGAAGAGCAGGAGAGACAAAAACATGGTGTCCCCGCTCCTTGCCAGTTGCTAACTGCTTTACTATTTCTGCCCTGGGGCCGGTGACTTTAGTAACTGCCTTACTTTGCTGCATGTTACTATACTATGTCAGTCTGCATGGAGTTGGGTTTTGTGTTGCCTTGGCTTTTGAACTCTGTCTCATACTTTACTGATTCCTTTACAAAATAGTCAGTGGATTTTAAATCCTAAACTGTTACATCTAAGCAACACAGTCTGTGGGGAGGATATTTCCAAATAAAATTGAGTTATGTGACAGGAAGACAGGTAAGGCTAGCAGTAAATGTCAAAGACACCTATCTCCAAAGTCAAAAGTAGGCAGGCTCACCTGAGGAACGTGCCAGTAAAGGAAGAAGGAGAAAAAGATTTAAGGAACAGATTTTAGTACACACCTCTACCTAATGACTAAGCTACTACACTTGTGGCCTGAAACTCGACCTAACTCACCCCCGGTGGTGGTGGGGGGGTGTCCTTCCTGAGCTTCCAGGGGACATTATACCACACATCTGGAGAGCTGCCTTTTAAATACTTTATGACCTCCCTCATCCTGTACCCAAGTACAGCAAGCATATGGTGGTCTGGGTCATAAAAATATTTAGAGATACTTTTGTTTGCTGATGCCATACAAAGGCAGAAAGCAACTCAACTGTGCTATTCTAGAACAGGGGTATCTGTGTGATGGGGAGGGGTGGACAGGAGGAGTTACCTCCAGATCACATGAGCTGATTTGAGGGTCTGTGAAATCAATCAGTTGATCTTTCCCCACCCCTGCTTTTCCATAGGAAGTTCATTTGGTTATCTTCAGTTGTCACACATGTAAATATATTATAGTTTAATACACAAGCAAAGTTGCATATTCTTTCAAGGAACAGAAAAACAGTCCATGCCCCCCCCCCAGCCCCCGCAAATCCTCCTTCAACAAAGTGCCTGATTTTCTCAAGTTTGAACTAAAAGCTGGAAGCACTAATTATAGTAACACCAAACAAATGGAAATCCTGGAATTGTTTGCAATTTGTATTTTGGATCCAAGTCAGGAGTTAAGTACAGGTACAAGATTGGGAGGCGTTAGCCACCCCAGTTGTGACTTCTTGGGGCAGGAGGGGAGGTAACCTCATTAATTAACAGTAATTTACCCACATTATTTAGTTTTGGTCACACAATTTAAAAGTTTTATTAAAACTTCCTTTTTTTTTTTTTTAAATAGTAAAGCATTCCTCCTGAAACTATTGGAAAATAGCACCTTCGGCACAGATTAGGAAAGTTTTAAGGAAACTCAGAAAAAGAGAACATAAAACTTTTAAAATGTCTTCTCTAGCAGGATGTTAGGACAGGCTTCCTTAGCTGTGGCCAGGGTGTTTCTGGTTTGACTGCCTCTATGCAGGAGTTGAGGTACTGGTGCCAGTGCCCCTTCTTAAGCTGCCTATTTTTATTTGTTGAGCTGGAGTTTGGCTGGCGCCACTCCAGATGTCTTCTCACAAGATTTGGTGCTGAGGATCTATTTATAGAACTGTGGTTCTGTTGCCATGGCAACATGCTGGAGGCCAGGGTGGCTGGGGAGCTATTTCTGGCCCGGTGCTGTAATGTAAGACTGATTGGGCAAGTTAGTGTATCCTCCAAGCCAGACTAACTCGGAACTGGTAAAAAGGAAGGGGAAAGGAAAAAAAAAAAAAATAGTAGGGATTTCTTTAAATAGACTTTTCTCCTTTTGTGATTTTCTTTTCTGATTAGCCCACTTTAAGACAATTCCCACCTCCTCCCCCTCCCAAAAAAAGCCAAATTGGTATTAACCTTAATTTTCCATATTAATTAAATTGCCCCAGCCTGGCAAAAAGTTAATTTCCTGAACTGTAACACAAGCAAGATAATGTTTTTAAACTGAAAGTTTGCTATCTAGAGTGCTCTGTTCATAGACCTGGTAGAGATTGATAGGGAACTTTGTGTTTGCTTCCTGCTCAGTGGGGTGAGAGCAAGAAGGGCCCCGTTTCTCATTAATCGATGAGATTCTAAAAAAAAAAAAAAGAAAAGAAAAGAAAAAGTTTGTCATTTTCAGTCAAAGCCAAACAATTTGAAAGTAAAAATATTTTTGGTCATTCATTATCAAATGGTATGGGATCCCCATAACATTGGGATTCTTGCTTTACTGGTTGATAGACATAAAACTATCTTTTTAAAAATTAAAAACCAAGAATAAACCTGGGCTGTTTATTTTATTTGGCCAGTTGTCGTGACCCCTTTGAACACCACCATGTGTCTTACTTTTATTCTCAGCTTCCTGGACAAGATTGATGTCATCAAGCAGGCCGACTATGTGCCAAGTGACCAGGTATACTAGAGTACTTGGATCCCTCTTTTCAAGCTATTCAAGGCTTTTGCTCCAGATTAGTGATCATCATTTCTATCTTTTTGGTTGACTGTGGTGAAATTCACTGACCCCCACCTTGTTTTAGGACCTGCTTCGATGCCGTGTCCTGACCTCTGGAATCTTTGAGACCAAGTTCCAGGTGGACAAAGTCAACTTCCAGTAAGTGAATGGTTCCCTTTCTCTTGAACTGCTCTCTGGCAGTTAGAGCAGTGGACCCTTCAGAATAACCAGTGTCCTCTTTCTCCACCAGCATGTTCGATGTGGGCGGCCAGCGCGATGAACGCCGCAAGTGGATCCAGTGCTTCAATGGTAGGGACTCGGTGGGCTCTGCGGCTCTTTGAAAAGCATGTGCTTTTGTAGTCATCAAGGACCATGTTCTTCTTCTAATCCGCACTGTTTCTGTGATGCAGATGTGACTGCCATCATCTTCGTGGTGGCCAGCAGCAGCTACAACATGGTCATTCGGGAGGACAACCAGACCAACCGCCTGCAGGAGGCTCTGAACCTCTTCAAGAGCATCTGGAACAACAGGTGTGTGGCATGACTGCCCCCCCAGGTGGCCCCAGAACCCTGAGCCAGTTTTTGAACAAGCATTTAGCTCCTTGCAGAAGACATGTGTAAAACTTGCCTCTCCCTCTTTGCTAGATGGCTGCGTACCATCTCTGTGATTCTGTTCCTCAACAAGCAAGATCTGCTCGCTGAGAAAGTCCTTGCTGGAAAATCGAAGATTGAGGACTACTTTCCAGAATTTGCTCGCTACACTACTCCTGAGGATGGTATGCAGGACTTCCATTCTTGGAGGTTCTTTGTCAGAGAGGGTCAGGCTGAAAACTCCACCCCCTCCCACCACTAAGCTATAAAGGATCCATATGGGAAGCCAGGAAAACTTATTTCCACTCATTTTCTTTTTTTTTTTTTTTTCTTTTTTAGTACTGGGGATACAACTCAGGGTCTTGTGCTTGCCAGGCAGGCCCTCCCCCCACTTGAGCCGCTCTATCAACATCCAGTTATTTTCATAGGAAAAAAACCAGTAGTTCTAAGAAATTAAGGGACTATTATGATGTTAGCTAGCTCTGCTCTAACCTATGTAATTACCTTAGTTCATAAAATATTAATTAATTAATTAATTAATTAAATTTTTTTTTTGCAGCGACTCCTGAGCCCGGAGAGGACCCACGCGTGACCCGGGCCAAGTACTTCATCCGAGATGAGTTTCTGGTGAGCAGAGCCTGTCCACTGTTCCCTCTTTGTTCTTATAGTTACAAACTTACTGAATTCTAAATTTAGGGGTCAGAATATACAGTCCTTCAGTTTTAATTCACACACTTTCTCGCCCTTCACTGGGCTTGGTTTGCACTGTGACATCAGTGGCTGGTCCACACTGGGTCTGGGGTGGGTGGACCATGGCGGTAGTGGACCGGGTCTCTGACAGAGCGTCCCCTCTTCCCACAGAGAATCAGCACTGCTAGTGGAGATGGGCGCCACTACTGCTACCCTCACTTCACCTGCGCTGTGGACACCGAGAACATCCGCCGCGTGTTCAATGACTGCCGTGACATCATCCAGCGCATGCATCTTCGTCAGTACGAGCTGCTCTAAGAAGGGAACCCCCACATTTAATTAAAGCCTTAAGCACAATTAATTAAAAGTGAAACGTAATTGTACAAGCAGTTAATCACCCACCATAGGGCATGATTAACAAGGCAACCTTTCCTTTCCCCCCGAGTGATTTTTGCGAAACCCCCTTTTCCCTTCAGCTTGCTTAGATGTTCCAAATTTAGAAAGCTTAAGGCGGCCTACAGAAAAAAAGAAAAAGGCCACAACAGTTCCCTCTCACTTTCAGTAAATAAAATAACAGCAGCAAACAGAAATAAAGAAATAAATGAAATAAAAAATGAAATAAATGAAATAAATATTGTGTTGTGCAGCATTAAAAAAATCAAAATAAAAATTAAATGTGAGCAAAGAATGGTAGACTGCTGTGAGTTATTTGCGGTTCTGAGCCAGTTCTCCTTGTCCTGGCATCAGCTGTTACAAGGCCCTCCATTGAGATGCAGGCCCAGTGTTATAAGTGGTGTAAAATCTTGCAACTATGTGTGTTTTGGTGATGTAATCACTATGGAAGTCCCACCCATTGTCCTTGTCCCTTTGTAAGCCACTATGTCTCAAAGAAAGCTACTTTTTTGATTATTGCTGCCCTATCATATCCAAACATTCTCCCAATCTACCTGGTCTCCCTCAAAACAGTGTTAGGAGTTTGTTTTAAGATTCAATTTAGGAGATTTACAGACACAGTATTTCCAGTGAGTTGGTAGGAGGCAAGGTTGTTCAAGAAATGGTTTGAAAACTACCCCTACCACTTTCCACACACCAAAATGAATTAGGTGTGGATTTCACTCATACATGTTAATTAAAAAGGTACTTCCTCGGAGTAGCTGTTTTTGCCAGTTTATAGAAGCCCCCTCTTAAGTCTGACTAAGATCTAAAAGCCATAAGAAGGAGGGATAGCTGTACAACGATGAAAATCACATAAAAATTATGATGGGGGAGGAGGTTGGGTAAAATTAACAGGGTTGGTTAATATGAGTTCTTAAGCATGAGACCCTGAGTTCAAACCCCAGTACTGCTCCCCAAAATTAATAAAACCCTCAGAAAAATTGGAAAAGTACATGCAATATACTAAAATAAAAGGTGCAAATGGCTAACATATCAGAAGACATGGAGCATCACTCAGAATGAAATATAGAAATTTCGTTATAATTGGGGGTGGAGTGGTTGTCAGCACTCAGGGGCCCCATATTAAATACAATGAAGCCCAAAAGGAATATTACTGGGACCTGAGGTCCATACATGTCCCTGCATTTTCACCCTGCAGGCTCATCCCTCAAGTGTTGGGTTTCTTGGAAGGTTTGGGGTTAGGGAAGAGTCCAGAATTGACCCCAGCAATAACCACTGTGCCCTCTGAAGCTGGCCAAATGAGACATGAGTCAAGTTAATTCTGTAACCTAGGCCCCAAATCCACTTCCTGTTCTATTTTTCCAGATCAAGACAATCCCAGTCAGTGCAATCATTTGTTATAACTCTCCTGAATTATGAGCCCCAATGAGGCTGAAAAAGTAGCAAGTACCTGTATTTCTACCTTCATAAACCTTTCCAAAGACTACATAACATTCAGTCCACATAATAACTGCATTTGCTATGCAGAATTAGTACAAAATAAGCCTCAGACCCCAAAATAAATGCACAAGTAAAAAGGAGGCTTGCTGTACAATAATAGCTAGGTCCACCAATAAATTCCCATGACCCTCCCATGCTCCATAAATGCATAATCCAAGTAAATGGAGTCTTGTTATGCAAATAGCTAGAAGGCCCACCCATATAATCCAAGTAACAATGGAGTCTCATTATGCAAATAGCTTGAAAGCCCACCCACAAATTCCCATGATTCCTAAAATCCCCCAATAAACATATAATCCATGTGAAAATGGAGTCTTGTAAGTAAACTAAAAGGCCTGCCCATATATTCCCATAATCCCCCAAATCTCCCCAATAAACATAAAATCCAAGTAAAAATGGAGTCTTGTTATGCAAGCAGCTAGAAGCCCCACCCACTAATTCCCATAATCCCCCATCTGCCCAATAAACATACAATCCATGTGAAAATGGAGTATTGTAATGCAAATAGCTAGAAGGCCCACCCACAAATTCCCATAATGCTCTAAGTCTCCCCAATAAATATATAATCCATGTGAAAATGGAGTCTCGCTATGCAAATAGCTAGAAGACCAGCCCACAAATTCCCATGATTCCTAAAATCCCCCAACAAACATATAATCCATGTAAAAGTGGAGTTTTGTAATGCAAGTAAACTAAAAACTCCACTCATATATTCCCATAATCCCCCAAGGCTCCCCAATAAACATAGTCCATGTAAAAATGGAGTATTGTTATGTAAATAGCTAAAAGGCAAGCCCACAAATTCCCATAATCCCCCAAATCTCCCCAATAAACATATAATCCAAGTAACAATGGAGGCTTGCTTGCCAGAGGACTAGCTCACAAATTCCCACAATCCCTTTCGGTGCCCATATAAGTACAACTAACTGAAAGGCAGCCTGCAGCAATCACAAAACCAGTGCACATAAAATCACCCCTACAAGTAGAGGCTGTGCTGAATGGAAAGCAAAGGTTGGACCTCCATCTCTTCCAAGATGGCCATCCATGAGCCCCTCCACATGGAAATTCTGGTGCCCACTCAGGATTATCTTACATAAGCTTGCAAAACATTAGCCACATATCCTTCAAAAGGAGAAAACACAAATTCCCAGGCCACAGAGCACTTATGCCAAGCAAAATGATACCCCAGAACCCCACCTTGCTAGCCCAAGATGACAGAGACATTGTGGTATCTTCTAGAAGGAAAGCAATAAAATGACCATCTTCAGGCATCTCCTGTGTGACAGTCACTGCCCAGTGAGCTAGGTTCAGCCGTTGTTGCCATTTTACCAACAAGAAGCAGAGGCCTACAGAGGCCCTGGGAGACATGGCTTGCCAGCAGGGAACAGAGGGTTTCCAACTCAAGGAGCCAAAGGCCACTGCTTGACCACTGCCTTATACTGCTGTCTTAGAAGGTGCAGGAAGAAGAGGAAACGGTTTCCTGGTGTTCTACCATGATACCAGTTGTTGGGAGTCCAGGACCTGTGACCCCGAAAGGAAATCCTGCAGGGCACCATGGGATTCCATTTCCCTGAGAGAGTGGCTTTGGGCAATTCTCCCGCCTATCCACAGGTTCTGGGCTTTGTCACAGGCGCCCCGCTGGTCATTCAGCTGTGTTTGAGCCTTGTTTCCTTACTTCAGGAGTCAATCCATCTATTTAAAACATTTTTGTTTCCATTTTCCCTTTGACCCTGCTACTAAACATAATTTTAATAAGGTTGTCTTTAAATCTAAATTCTAGAATCTTCAGAAAACAAAAATGATGAAAAGTTCCAACTAAATCTTTGATTACAAGAAGCCATTATTTTAAAAACATTTCAGCTGAATTTTAAATATCTATTTAAATGCAAAGCAATGTATTTTTAAAGGTAACAATTTGTGCCACACTTAATGAAGGTGTACAGGCCAAATGTTACCAATGACTCTTCACTGAAACATAGTAAAAAACCAGTAGGCCTCTCACCATAGGGGGAGGATCTAGAACTGGGCAGGATTTTTTATTACCTCTATTTTTTATTAAAATTTGGGCAAAATTATACCAAGAGAAAGGGCTACATCTGCATAGATTTCCTATGCTAACAGCATATAAATGATTTACTGAATAGTTTTAGCTAGCTTTTCATTCAACAAATGCACAGAGTACGGAACCTGTGCCAGCTAGTGAGAGTTCTGTTCTCATGGAGTTTATGCTCTAGCAGGGGAGACTCCCACCTGCCAAATAAGGTATTAAAAGAATTACAGGTAGAGACAGGTCTCTAAAGTAATAAACAGGACAGCGATGCTGGGGGATGAGAGAGATTTGGGGGAAGATTCATTTTAGATAGAATGGCTAAGAGGTGGCACATTTTTTTAATGGAAATGTGAAGGATAAGAAAGAGGTAGCCATCCAAGTAATCATTGCTAATATAATATAATATATAATTATATTAATGAATGTATATAATTATAATAATGAACATTTATAAAGAAACATTTTCTCATGTGCCAGGCACTGTCCTAGGTCCAATTAGCTCATTTAATTTTTCAAAGCCCACCAGGCTTTGAAAATAGGCCCTATTCTATTACACAAAAAAGGCAATATTGTTGTTAATAATTTATGGAAGCTATCATTTTAATGAGGGCTATACTAAAAAGTCACTACAATAAGCATTTAATTTGAGTCCTTCTTTCCTGGGCTCCTATTTTAGAGCAGAACATTGTGTCTCTAGCATAGTTTTTCTGCATTTAAATACTCATATACTGTGAACAACTAGACTTTTCTGGGCTTTCCTTTCTTATTTTCTGTATAGGTTGGGAATGCATTTGGCTGCAAATAACAGAATCGTGGCTCAGAGTGGCACAAAGTGTGTATCTCACTGATCAAGGATTTTGGAGGTAGGCAGCTCCTCATGTTATTTCAGCAGCTCATCAACAGAAGGGCCTTCTCAGTTTCTCTCTCTCATTGTTGCTTCATGGCCAATGGCAGAAAGGAAACAGTGCAGCCAAAACTTTCTTTTGTCTTCCTGAGATGCCTTTCCATTCCTTCCCTGCCATGTGGAATGCACATAGACACCTAAATGGCTAGATAAATAGCCAACTAGCTAGCTAGAACATCTGAAATGACCTGTGGTGTTAGGGATTAGAAAAGAAAACAGGTAAACAACAAAAACAATAAGCTTTTCAAATCATAAAAGACTAATTTTCACAATTCTATATACAATTTTAAAGCTAAGAAGAAACAGATTATTGTCCAATAATCTATCAAAGTTGACCTTAGTTGAGACATAAAAAATCTAAGCAGATCAGTTCTCCAGGAAAGAAGAGAGCATGATTAGAGTGTTCCATGACAAAATTAGCTCCAAACTAGTTTTGGCGTGGGAGTTAAGGACCAGGGGAGTGGAAAGGGGGTTTCTGGGGTCCTAATAACCTTGTGCTCCTTGCTGATAGGACAAATATATTCTATCTGAAAAATATACCGAGCTGCACACTTATGGTTTATTTACTTTTCAGTATGTGTGTTATATTTTTTTAAATAAGGAAAAGGAGAAAAGCACCAGACCCAGGTGGTTTTACAGGGCACTTTACTAAACTTTGAATAGTCAAATAATCCCAAAACTAACTTAAATTATCCCAGAGCATATAGTAAAAGGAACACTTTAAAATTACGAGGTCACCATGCCATTGATTCCAAAACACACCAAAGATAGAATCCAAAGATAAAATTACAAATCAAGGTCATTTATGAATATTGATTTATATAGCTTAAAATATAAGCA